GTAGAAAAACATGTTTTTCATTTATTGCACAGCAACTACTGCGCATGGAGCACCCAATTTATGTCACAAGCATCAGTTGTCAAAACCTTACAAAATAAAAAAAGAGCCAACAAAATCGGTTCACTAGTCCCCCAGAAAATCTTTGCACAGACAGACAGACTGAACAATGGCTAAAGTGTGTTTTCCGGATTCAGGGGACTCTGAAACGTATAGATCCGTCGAAAACTGCATATCGGAAATTTGATCCGATCGCAATACTTTCCTTACCTAGTATTGGTAAGAAAATAAAAGGAATGAATTTGACCAATGAAACTAATTAATTCTAAAAGTGCAGATTTAAGAGCTAATGCAATTCTATGAAAACAGTATTTAAGAACTATTCTTATTTCTGAATAGTGAAATTTGAATCCATTTCGGTATATTTTGTTAATTGCTTTCATTCTGATTAATATTGTGTACTTCTGATTTTTATAATTAAACATGTTTTTCTAAAGATAATGGCACAGTAGTCGAAAAGCAAAACGAAGATACTAAATCCCAAGGAAGACGTCGAGAATTATTGCGCAAACTAGTTTTCTCATTCAGAAATCCACTTCATCATCTGAGACTTATTGTGTCAATCCTGGAAGACTCATCCACTTAAAATTACTGGGAATCCTTCGGAAGGAAAATTGTTATCCAGGACTCTAGACTATTGAGCCGGACAATAATAAAAGGGCCGCTTGGCTAGGAGTTGCTCGATAACAATTACAGAAGGGACTTACCCCCTAACCCCGGGCTATGAAGGACTCAGCGCCCCCATTATTTCACATCACGTCTGTCAACCCTTCTTAACTGAATATTTGCCAAAACTGCTTCCTTCACACCACCTCCCTTATCTCAGGATGAATTGGAAAATAACTCAATGTTTATTCTTATTTTTTCATGAAAACCACAAAAATAATGGATGATTTGTAGGTCAGGCTCTCTCTTTTTACCAAACTAAAAAAAATAAATTCACGAACCATTAACTCTACCCGTACCTCAAGCCAATATCAAAACTACTGCTTTATTATTAGTTCTTTATTTTAGGTGTTATGATTACAATAATATAGATCATAATTAAAAAAAAAAAATAGATGTGCTCTAGGAGGGTATCCCGAATCCACAGTCGATCCATGGCTGATATAAAAAATACATGACATAAACCCCGAACCGTGAGCTTAACATCTCAGTGCCTAACTCATTATGGGAGCGGAGTCTTTGAGGCCTTATCCCCATTAATGTCAACTGGGCTTAAATGCTTAAATGTTCAACATGTCTTCCTTTAAAGTAACTTTAATTCGATTTATTTTAAATAATTAATCACCTCTAATTATTGACAGTTACGAAAAAATGCTAAATATATCTTTTGAAAGAATTTGATAATTGAAAAATGTAGGAATTAATGGAAAATGTTTATTTAGGCCGAAAACGAATTTTCTAGTCAGAATGTATACGTATAATATATCGCTGAAAAGCGGAGAATTCAGAAAAAAAGAATATCTATTATAGAAATTATTAGAGAATGACGAAAAATTATAAATAATAATTTTTAAAAACTAATATTATTTAACGGAAATTAAATGATGTTTATTAAATGTAAACTTTTTGAAGTTCGAAAAAAAAAAATCCACCCAATCAAGGCAACGGCAGTGTTTAAAAAACAATTTCTTAGTACTTATCTCTTGTCATTGTCTTGTAAGCTGTATACAAAAAAAAAAATTCTTAATTTATTTTTTTTTTGTAAAAAATTCTTCAATAATGTTTTCTTGGAACTAAATATGCTTTAAATGTTTTCTTCATTCTAAGCCTTGATTTCCCCTCATTTCAAATCCGACCGGGCTTTCTTCCTCAACTTCCCAATTACCTTTCTATTTATTTATACTATAATCCTTAATTGTCTTTGGTAATTTGTCAGGTAACATTTTTTATACGTACAGAACAGCGTATTTTAAAAAAAAATATTATTTGGAAAATTGCTAAATTTCATATTCTCCAGCTCTTTAATTTTTAATTCTTTTCCATCTGGATCTTATAGCTGCTCTTCTCCGAAAATTCATTTATAAATTCAATTGTCTTTTGTAGTGTCTAACTATTGAATAATTAGTTGAAACTATAGTTAACGTGAGCTTTGTGCTCCGTAATATGGATTCCTTAATGACATAATTAACTCTGCCGGTATTTAAATTATATCATTGCTTACAATTATGCACAAAACGTGGAGGGATGATTTATATTCTAACACAATATTTACGATCATGCATTAATATAGGAAGGAATGTGTTAATTTCCATTTCATGGAATCCAAGCAATGAAGCCAAATATTAAGTTCAATTACCAAACAGAGATTAGAGCCAATCCCTTTGGAATGTAATTATTGCCACATTTAATTAGTTTATGGCATTTGAGAACGAGTTAGCTAAATATGTTGTTATTATCTGAATATGCAAATTAAATTAAAATTTAACAAATAAAGCCAGGCCGGTTCTAAACCTTACTTGCGGTAAAAAATATATCCCTATTAGCAATAAAAAACAACAACACTACGTTCGCGGAATATCCAATTGGATTTGATGCATTGCGTTATTAAACACCGTTTGATACCTATACAAAAAATAAATAAATAAATAACTCAATTGATTTACATTATTCTTTAGTTGGATAATTAAAGTGGTTCGAGGAGAATAATTTAGACAATTTTCATTGAAATCGGTACATTTATTAGGCACTGTAGTGAATACGAAACAGATCTTTCGGCCGCCATCTTGAAAGGAAACTACGGTGAATTATACCATATAGATAAAATTTAAAAGGCGTCCAGGAGACTTTAGCCAAGTTTCATTAAAATTTATAACGACACAGGTTTTTCTTGAAATCTTGAAAGAAAAAGGCGGATGGTAATACCAAATTCCAGGGATCGTCTCAGGATTCACTTTGACGATGATATCAAATCTCAAAATGATCAGTCTAGTAGTCTCGGAGAAAAACCGCGGACAGATTTATTTGTATTCGATTTTCGGATTCTATGTATCTAGAAACGTAAAACCTTAAATTTTGAAGGGGTTAACTTTTTTATTTGTCGCTTATTCGACCTAGACATGTTATAATAGCATAATAGAATTTTCTAAAACTTAAAGATAAATATTCTAAAACGATAAAGAGACAGCTGTCTTTCTGTTTCACTTGCTTTAGGAAACAAAATATTGAGAAAAGTGGTTTATCTCTCTGGGTGACGAGTCACATAGGAATCATTTGTAGTGAGTTCGAATGTTACCAATTACCAATTCGAATGTTACCATGAATGTTAACAATTACCAATTCGATGTTACCAATTACCAATTAGAATTATCAATCACTCATTGGTAGTGAGTTCGCGGATGTAGCGGCCAAACAAGCATGCAACTATTCAGGCGGGAACTCTGCCTTACTGACACCACAAGATATAAGTCTTCCTCACTAAAATATTCCATTGCTGGCAATACATATGGATATTTAAAAAAAAAACAGTGAAACCATGGTCATCATCAAGTCGTAGAGAGAAAATCGTCTTAACCAGAATGAGAATAGGCGATTCAAATCTGAGTCATTGCTATTGAGAGATAGTAACTACCGAAATGCCATCAAGTTGGTAAAACATTTACTATCAGCCACATTTTATAAGAATATTCTTTTACAATTCAAATTTAAGCAGTTCTCGATTTTTTTAAAAACTATTTATTCAAGATATTTACAACTGATTTATAATATAAATACATCAAGTAAATGGATATAATCACACAAGGATATAATCACTTGAAAATGTTTGTTGAGAAACTACCCACAGGTAGCATTCTAATAGGCTTATTTTGAGACGCCTCGGAGGATTATCAGTAATAGAAGAGGAAGCAAGGTTAGAAACGAGAGGATTCGGATGGTTATGAAGTTTATTATGGAAGGATTGGTATCTGGGTTGGGCCAAATTGAAAACATATGGAACATTAAGGTAATTATGGATTATTTCATTTGTGACAAAGTAAATAGCATTGAGGAGTTTACGAAGGATTTTGGATTGTAAGGATTAGATGCGAGAAAAATTTAATGGTTTAGCGGAGTCCTGTAGCTCAACTCCGTAAGACCAAATAGGTCTTAGTTTAGTCATGTATATTAGTCTTATGTAATTAACTGGAAGTTTAGAGCGTTTGTCTAGTAAGTGTTAGAGTAAGTGGAAACGTCGAGCAGTTTCTTGTCGTTTCAGTCTTGTATGAGGATTCCAAGTGAGACGTTTGTCTAGGTGGAGTCCAAGAAATCGAATTTGTTCAACAAGGATAAGTGGAGTGTTATTAAAGGATACAGTAGGACAGGAAGTCATAGGTTAGTTATAAACTAACAGTTCAATATCAAATATTCTAAAAAACTGCGAAGAGACAAAAAGTTTTTATCGAAATCAGTGCACTTTCAGTAAAGACCATTACACTTTCGGCCTTGTGGACGCTTTATAAACTGGCACTCACATGTGTATTCAAAGTTGGGACTACAAAATCTCTCACCTTTTTTGATATTCTTGTGCGTGTGTCTTATTTTCACTCCGGGCGGATTTGTGAGAGATTTGATTGCTTAATTTTTCTACCCTTTCAGAGTTGCTGGGATCTGTTATTTTCTATTTTTTTATTATGAATAACATTCCAGAGTTTATTACTGAGATACATGAGGATATTAGAAGTCTATCATCCTTCATTTTGGTCATCTCTAAAATATTATTTTCCTTACCACACGGGTTAATTTTTATCTGTAATTTTGTAGTAGAGTAATATATTACTTAGGTATTATAAGAAATAATTAATGTAATAGTCAGATAATTTATACTTTTAACAGTGATTTATTTTTAATTCGTTTTAAGAATAACAAAAATAACATGTCGAAACCCTCTAGCACAGGTATAATATAATAATAATTTATTAGGACGATGAGACGATGTTGCTAACAGTAGAAAATGGTGTTGCAGAGTGGAGGTGGATGCAGGGTGGATGTCCGGAAGGGGTGAAGCTAGAGCCAGCAGCGCCAACCCCTTCCTGGCCTGGCATGACCAGAATGACAGGTAGTGTCAGTAATAAAAATAAAGACAATAATAAATAAACATAAAACATGTAATAAGAATAGTATAATTAGTTACTGTCGTCTTCATATCTCATAAGTTGTATAGGATTAGTCTTAAGAGCATTAAAACCCATTTCATAAATTAAATTGATTTTGAATTTTAAAATTTCAGAAAAAGGAAATGATCCTTTTATTCATTTCATTAAATTAACGAGATTTCGAAACTAATCTGATTCATTTCTAAATCCATAATCTACTATAGATTTTTATATCATTTATATCAATTATTTTGTTAACAATGTTACTCTATTTTTACTTTCACTTATCTATATATGGAATGTATAGTAAAGGAATGTATTGCGATCGTGAAAATTTTAGAATCTTAGTTTTCAACGGGAATGGACGTTTTGAGATCCTTTGAGTCCAAATAACCAACATCCGCAAAATGGTTTGTGTGTGTATGCGTGAATTAACAGGGTAAAGTCGTACGGAAGTGAAATTGCATATTTAAGATTTTTATATGCTATGGATTTTACTGCAACTTTGTATTTAAAACCGGCTAACCGGAAGTGGCACTTTATATAATGGACTAAACACATTTTTGCGATTTTCTCAAAACGGCTTTAACGATTTTGATTAAATTCGCCATATCAGTTTAAAATTAAGCAGTTTTAAAAACGAATATAGTTTTTATTCTGCTTAATTTTCTTTAACAGGGCTTATATGGCTAATTTTCAATATTGGCTACCCCTAAAATATCTTTAATTTTTTTATTTGGAAAAATGGACCATTTCACATTTATCTCAATATAAAATATAGTCAAATATAAAATATGAAAGAATTTGATAATTACCAAAAACTGAAATCAGAGAACGTAACGGAGAATAGTTGTAATTGATTAACCAAAGGAATACCAGCGCTTAATATGATACAGACTCCGAAAATATTATATAAATATACATATATGGTTTTCATAAATATTATTTAATATTTAATTGTATAGATTACAGCGATATAAATATTAAAATTTGTATATATAAGGGAACTTATAAGTAAGTTTTTACTTTAACTTCTCCTGTTTCTGAAAACACCTTTTTTCGCTAAGAAGAGAGTGGTAAATGAAAGTCGTGATGCGCGCACCGCACCAGATTTTTTTTCTGACGAATCGGCCAGCAAGGACCACGCGAATATCATTTCTTGTTCTTCTTCACACCTTCCGCCTTCCTTCCACTCCAATACTCTTTCATCCTCCTGGACTGGTTCCTCTCGCTCTTCCTTAGCTCATTTTCACCCTCCTCCCTCCTCCCCACAAGAATCCTAACCTCCTTTAGTTTTTTCTAAAAATCTCTCTACCCATGCAGTTCTTATACGTGATTTATAGCCTGCTCAGTTCCTCTTTTACTTGTTTTACATACCCCGCCATACTTTTATAGCTGCAGATTTTGTCGAAAATTTTCTTGTTTAATCTCTCATTGTTCATTCTGACCATGTTACTCTATTTTTTATAGATTAAAAATAAATAAAATTATAGATGCTTCATCCAATTTTATGGATACAGAAGCCTCAACAAGATTCGTAGACATATTGGAATTTAGTGCAAAAGGAAAGAAGGCTCTTGTAGTTGATTCTATAATTAGATATGAGATGAACGATGAGCAGCAAGATCTCAAAATACAAATTGAGTAGGACGAAATTTACAAAAAATGCATTCCTTACCTAAACGATCAATATATAGAGAGGAATTTGGTGAGAGATTTTTTTTTGGTACGAGGATTTAGTTTTGGAAGTGGCAATTCCTCTTTCAACTGCTAGTTTGAATAAGATGCTGAGTATGGAGGAGTCTATTATTTTGGACTCATCAAGAACCCGGCACCATCACCTCTAGTAAATCTGGTCATTGCTTTCGGAACTCTGGTGACAAAATTGAGAAGAATGTGGATGAAAAAATAAAGAAAATAACAAATGACATTTCTTCATACAAAGTATATCAAGCTTAATTCTGTTGCTATAGTATATTAGTCAGTCAGATGGATTAATACGCTGTTTCAGTCTGCAACTCAACACAGTCGAGCAGCACCAAGGTTTTATCGTAGTTCTCTCTAGTCCGTATTAACTATTAATTAAACGATGCTCTAAAAACTCATAAATATCCGATCGTATGATAGTTTGATCATAAAATCGAAAAAAAGACATGATCTACAAAAATATTGAGCCATTTGGCCTTTATCACCTTGTTATTTTGACATTTAGGGAGTGGTGATCACGTCAAACAGCCCATCATTTTTTTGGATTTTGCGGATGTAAACGATTCAAGGGGAATTCCAATGAGTGCTCATGAGTTTTTAGTACCAAATTAAATATGCAAAGTTTACTTATCTCCAGATTGAAAATACCACAGTTACGATGATATGAAGCACGAAACATATAGTTTTAGGCGGATGTTAATAATTTGATAAAAAGGTTTCCGAACCACGGACTGTAATTATAACTAAAATTAAACAAAACTTATATGTATCAATATGGTTTCAGCATTTATAATAACAATAAAACTAACATTATAATTAAAAATTAAAAATATCCAAATTTATAAAAAAATCACAATTACCTCTGCACACATTGTTTCAATTATAAAAATTATTTATTCGATTAGAATATTGCCATGTTTAATAATAAGTAATAGAACATTTTATTATCATTATCATTTATTATATTGTTAATACTTTTAGCTGAGTGTCTGTGGCTGTAGCGCCCTTTCTCAATCTCTGCTGGCTTTTAATACCAGTAAAGTTGTTGAGGAAGAAGCGCAGGGATCTCCTGAAGTCTTGCTTTCCCTCCACAAGTATGGTTCGGAGTTCCCATGACGGACTGTAAATAGTGTAAATAGGTATGCCTGCGTCTAAGATGTTTATTTTCATTACTTTTTTATTTATTTTAAAGATAATTTTAATTCTATTTTATTCATTTATTTTTATTCTATTATTACTATTATTTATATTTTCTTTCTTCACTATGATATATTATTTTGTTCTTATTTAGCTTTATATTATTTTGAAATTACCTTATTTATTTTATTTTTCTGAATTTGTAAATATGGTGTGAATGTGCTCTCAGAACTCTATTATAAATGTCCTTTTTTGAGACAGATTGTAATATTTATCAATAAACAAATAATCCAGCAAAAGTTTTAGGAACTTAAGATGATGGTATATGAGATTAATAATAATAAATGAGCGCAACACACAACTTTCACTTACCACTCTACTTTGAGTAGTAATTATTTTCCGGCAATGTTGGGCTATCATACAATTTTTGAAGTGCCATTTAAATATTTCAACTTAATTATAGTCAGATATTTTCAAGAGAAACTTATGAAAATAGCATTGAAACGAAACCATAAATTCCTATGAAAGCTCATTATAGAAAAAAAATCTTTATCGCTTTGAGTTCTTTCGAAAACCTCTTTCGCTCCTGGAGAAGTGATTCAGTTATAAAGAACTGAGAGGAGCCGTCATCTAGCTCAGGTCTCTTATCAGTCCTCACCGCTCCGTTCTATCCTATTTACGACTCGCCCAAATTACTGTTATCGAATGGACCTTCTTCGGCAGACCTAAAGTGCTCTTCCGATTCCTCGAGAGGCGGTCGGAGGCGGCCGACGGGGGGTTTTAATCACGCCTCTCTCCAAGCAGTGTCATTATTGATCACTGATCAGTTAACAAGAGGCAGGCGGGAGTAGAGCCTTCTGTCACACATACCTTACTCACCATATTACAACCTTCGTGTTATGAAGTTATATGTAGTATTATACTATACAATATTCAAGCCGTTTTAGGCTAATCCATTTATCTTGATTAGCGGAAGAAAACTTTTAAACTATTTTTAAGTGAATTTCATAAAAACAATATCGCAGAATTAGATTATAATCTTCCTGTTGCGTGGTTGGTATTTGTCGCCCACTTAATTTTTTAGTTTTTATTGTTATAAACAATTTTTACATATCTATATAATTCAATATCATTAGATAACTGGACACAATAACACCAATATCATGGAGAAAATTGGCGGGCTATGACAGAGGATAGGACTATGACTCAACAAATCGGTCGACACGCCGAATAGTAGTATTATTAATAACTATAATACTATGATAGTATTATCATTATAGGAGTAATAAGCAAAAGTTTTGAGATACATATATATCTTTTTTCTCTCTTTTTTCCCCTATATCCTAAGGGTCATTAGCGTTATCTATAATTTAGATTCTATCTATAATTGTCTTGATTAGCGGAAGAAAACATTTTAAACTATTTTAAAGTGCATTTCATAAAAAAAATTATCACACAATTAAATTATAATCTTCCACTTGCGTGGTTGGTATTTGTCGCCCACTTAATTTTTTAGTTTTTATTGTTATGAACAATTTTTAAATATCTATACAATGCAATATCATTAGATAACTGGCAACAATAACATCAATATCATAGAGACAATTGGCGGTCTATGATAGAGACTAGGACTAAGACTTAACAAATAGGTCGCCACGCCAAATAGTATTACTTAGTAATATCATTATAGCAGTGATAAGGAAAAATTTTGAGATAAATATAAATATTTTTTCTCTCCTTTTTCCCCAATACCCTGAAATGTCATTAGCGTTTAACTATAATTTAGATTCTTTTGTGCTATCTTATAATCCTTGGGAATTTAAAAACCTTAGAGATTCGATCTTCATTATCCAACAAAATGCTTCTTAATTTTTTTGATAGGATTTTATTTCTGTATTTTCGAAATTAATGATTTTTTTCCGAAACGTGCGTGGTAATTATTTAACCAATTATAATTGGTTAAATAATTATTTAATCAATAATTACAATTTGTTTCGACCAGATGGCAACATAAATCGATCAGTGTCATTAATTATAGTAAATAAATTTTATAAAATTATATTTTTTCAACTAATTTCAATATATTTATTGTATAATAATATAATATATATTAAGTATT